TTCCACACCTGAAAGCCTTATAAATATTATAAATTTAAACGGGTGTGCCGTGCTGTACCTGCCACGCAAAATGGACGTGTTAATCCGATCCGCTGTAGACCGCAAGTGTCATGTTGGAACAGAGTAAGAAGCGTAAACTTTAGGGTTCTTGAAGTATACTGTATGTGTTTTTACATGTGTTTACCATATTATTTGTGTCCTGCACAATGACTTACATCTCCATTCCACTTGGTCATTCTTCGGCGGCCAGCTTGCAGAGGGACGACTTCTTTCTTCAACAAGGACAATAAGCAAACTTAACTGCATCTACAGAACGCTGTCTTTTTAAAGCTTGGGGAATGAAAATATCCCATCTGCTCGCGCTCGCTCATTGCTGACGCAAGAGACAAATGGAAGCACCCTCCAATTCTTGGGACAATGCGGAACTGTACACAACATTACATCACCAAGATTAAACACTGACTGTGTGTACACGCTCTTGCCTCTGACAAACCATGCCTTGTCGAAATCATCGAACGCGGACTAGACTAGTTGGATTTGCGGAGAGATCCCTGAACACTTCAGAATCCCAAGAGTCATGAGTTTCCTAAATCCCCTTCAGGTCGCCTGAAAAGGGTACAGTAAGAAAGATGCGAAGAACTGATCAAAACCTTGTGGCATATCCAACCACATTCCCCCAACCCGACAGTCCTCGTTTGCGACACGTCAAGTTGAACTGGTCATGAAATTGGATGAAAAGGTGTTGATTCGCAATGATTCGCAACACCTGAGCATACAGCATACCTGTAAAGCCAAGATCTGAAGGCTCGCCGCATCCTTGCTGGGGCACCCCTGCCCGCTGCTCCGACCTGGCCATAGATCATGGAGTTCCAACTGGCGCCGTCTGATCAGTTCTGTGGGCATTCATGATTCTCTGGGGCGCTAAACCGGATGCTCTGTATATCCAAGTGTCTTTGGAGTGTGGCATGCACCGTCCGGCTTTCCAGGGCACCGTCTCATCGTCACTAGACAGCTCAGTCACGACGCTCCCCGGACACGGCGATGCTCCGGTCGTGTTCGGGTCCATGGCCGGAGAAAAGAACAACTCGGCGTTGCAGCCAGCTGGCCAAGTAGCAACTAATTGATTGGAATTGTTCAATCACTCCAACAATGCGTCGCTTAAAGCTAGAGCTGGTGAGCAGGAACTGGGGAGCAAAAACAGAAGCAGGAACTGGGGGAAAGCGCATCAACTAGAAAATCATCTTTCCCGGCACAACGACATGTTGCTAGGTACGCACAAGCACATGCCGCACTATTGGTCCTATTCAGACTACTGCGTAAAAAGAATGATTTGTAACCAGAACAGAAAGCACACCACAAGGGCAACAGCGCGGCAACATCCTGCTACGTATGTTGGACTGCCTTGTTGCAAATCGTGCTTTGCGCGGTGTAGACTGAATGCTTTGCAATGGAGCCACAAGGCACGCCACATGTGTTTTAGTTGTTTGCTGGTGCAGAAACACTCTGCTAAGTACTTGCACATGCCTGTGACATTGCTGCGCATAGAATGCTTTTCTGGTGTGCAGAAAGAATCCTTCGCAACAACGGCAGGATGCACACCACAAGTGCACAAGCTGTTGCTACACTCCACTTCAGAGCTTACACACTACACACTTCACAGCTTACACGCCACACACTGCACAGTTCACACGCCTGCCAAGGTGGTCCCAAGTGGCCTCAAGTGAAAAAACTTACCTTGTCCAACTTTGGAAAAACAAACTTGGCAACATAGCGAAGGGAGTGATGCGCAGTTTGCCCGCAGCGCTCCAAAACGGGCAATCCATCGGTGGAATTCTGCGCGCTGTCTGGAACCTTGGGCGCTGTCCGGGCGACGAGCGTGTCGCGCAGATTTTTTACAGGGCGAACACCGGAATTCCATCGTGGAAACTTGGGCGCTGTCTGGAACCTTGCGAGTGGCGCACAGTCGGCGCTCAAAAGCTGGAATTCCCTTGTGGAACCCTCAGCGCTGTGTGGAACTTTGGGCGCTGGGCTGGGAGCGGTGCGCAGATTGTCTACCGGGCTTGAAAACCGGAAGTCCAATCTTGTGTGCTGCGTTTGGGGGTGCAGGGCAGACCGGCAAACAAAACATGTCGGAGAGATCGTAAGATTGTGATTCTGGTGGGCAGGGCTTAGTGTTCCACCTTGGAACCTCACGCCATAAAACTATACACCATGTTCCCTTCCAATGGCGTGAGGTGCCTGTGGCAACAGTGTAACAGCCTCCTGTGTTCCCTTCACAGCAATGCAACTGCTTTTGCACTTGTGGTGTGCCTCCTTCCTCCAGAAGCGAAGTTCCTTTTGCACACCATAGAGCTAATATGTTCTACGAGCAGCTATGTCACAGGCAGTTTCGTGCACCGTGCGCACGCAAGGTTCCAGACACGGGTTCCAGGATGCAGGAGCCCCGTTCGTAGCGTCCGATCGCTCCGCGATGCCAGGAGCCCCGTTCGTAGCTTCCGATCGCTCCTAGTAGTGAAGCCAGGAGAGCACCGTGGACAAACTCTGCACATTCGATCGCCAGAGGTCTCGTGCGGCGACCGCTCGTGCCTGTGAAGTCTCCCAGCACCCACAGCTGCCCCGCGCGAACGCCAACCACGCGGGCCTCGGGCTGGTGAGTCCATGAAGATACTCCAAGTTTCGAAGTCCATGTAGGGAGTTGTTCTCTTCATTTTGCCATCACAAGTCACTCCTATTACAAACGTGTCGGACATGCGCTGGAGCCAAAGCGGATGATAAATGCATTATAAAACCAGACTAAAAACCAAGACCTATGCTCACCAACAAGACGGAGCGAATCCTCCCTTGCGCTTGGCGTCCTCGTCTGACGTCGCCGGGTCGGCAGCGAGAACGGCGCGAAGGCGATGGGACGGATGGGAGCCCAGTGAAGCGAAGAAAGGAACCGGCGCAGACGGATTCAATGCAACCGAGGGGAGGAGAAACCATGTCAATCCTTCGTGGCCCAAAATGAGACTCCTTCATCGTGCCGTTGATGCGGTATCAGGAGCTGGAACATCTTGGGGCGAACGAACCAAACGAAAAAACGGTGCAATCTACGAATGCAGCTGAGGTGTTCGACAAGGCCATCTGAGCCCACGACCATCCGCCCCACGCTGGCATTGACGATGAATTGCACCGCAGGTGCCTATTCGGGCGGAAGGTGAGCTCTTTTCTAAAGGTGGTCAAGAAGCTTTGCCCCCTCAACATCGCGGATTTCGGGCGGAAGGTGGGCAAGTTGAAGTACCGAAAACCTCAGAAACGCCCTTTGCCTCCGGGGGGGCGCACCTAGAATTCCATCCCCTTTCATGCCTGGAGACTCACCGCAACGGAGCTCTCCAAGCCGCGCCCGGCCGCCAGCAGTCCTCAGCTCCAGGCGGGGGTTTAAAGCATGGAAACACTACGACTGAACGCTATACCTGAGACTGGAGGTTTAAACTGAACATCCTTCACCTCATGATCCTCATGGTGAAAAGAACCCCACCTGCTCCAACTCCACCGATCTCTCTCTGGGCCGCCCCGGCGCTCCACTAGCGTCTTCCGAATGCCCTGATCATCCAGCCCCAAGTCTCTGAGCTTGGCTCTCAGCTGGGGCACCTGGTTCGCCACGGCACGGCCACGGCACGGGGGCGCACGGTGCAACCGGAACGCGGAAGATGCGGTTGCAGTGCATGAAAGTACTGTGATACAAAGTTGAGAGACCAAAAAACAACACGGAATTGGCAGTGAAGAAAGGAGCCTCATGACTCAGAACCTTTTTATGTTTGGAATTTCACCAGACTGGCAAATTGCACAATCGTAGGGGGTTGGCATCCGTCAGCAGAAGAGTCATTAAGGTTCAGTAAGTGCTCGCAAATAGAGGACAGCTACTCCAAAAGGATTCCTTCTTCAAAAGCATATCCAATGTGTTTCCGGCCACACCTTTTCTGTGCCTCGTGCCGGGCAGTGTCTGCCACCTCTTGCGCGGCCCGGCGGCCCTCGAGGTAGGCGCCATGCACCGTGGAGGGGAAGCGGTCGCTGGTGGCCTCCCCTGCGAAGTGCACCCGCTTGGGGCACCCCTCGAGGCCGACGGGCGATCGGAGGTGAAGGCGATGCTGCGAGGAGCAGGACACAGCATTGAAGGAATAGGCGCCACAGGTGAAGGGGTCCTGCAGAAATGCGATCTGGTCCGTTGGGCTTCTTGATCCAAAGTTGGAAAGCCTTCGGTAAGAGTGCATGAGGTCATGAGGCATGAGGCATAAGAACACTGCCTGCAGCATTTTTGATAAAGGAGTCCAAGTCCTACACATTGAAGAGCGGGTCCTGGTCCCACGTGGTCCTTTTCACTTCCAGTGGCTCTGGCATGTCTGGGAACATGGATTGCAGCAGCGCCAGCGTTGATGGCACCAGCTTCTCCTCCTCAAGGGTCGCCATGTGTCGCGCGGTGTCCGTCACGTAGTACACCACAAGGACGTTAGACCCTCAAGTGGAGCAAACAGGCGGATGCGAAGCCTAGAGAGGTGGACGACATGTGTGATCTGGGTAGATTGTCCTTGTATCTAACCCCATTTGTGAGGCTTACATACTCACTGGTTGCAGCATAAGAGTCGAGGTCAACATGCTTCAATGGTGAGTGCTTCTGCATCAACACATCTTTTTTCCATCTTTGCTTATCCAAATTTGTCCAATTCCCAACACTTGGATAAAATCTACTTTTATAGAAACCACCTTGCATCTGGTTGCACCAAAACACAATGAAGACACTCTGGTCTCAGTATTTGACTTGCGCATCTTCCATGCCTGGCCTGTCACATGCTTCAGGCTCACGCAGAAGGAAGCCTCCAGAGCCGTGGGCGCTCGCCGCGCCTCCTGTGTGGGCATCCGGTATATGCAGTGCACATTGGGAGCCATCTGCTCCCAAAAGCTCTCCTCAAAGCCTGAAAAACGGAGTGGTCATCTCGGATCTCAACAAAACTCACTCTTCCGAGGCCCTGGAAGAAGGTCGCTCAAATCGATGTTGATTGGAAGAAGAGAAAACCAAACCATTGCAGACCTGGCCAGGACTTCTCTACTCGCACCAAGGTACGCAGGGCCACCTTCTCCATGGCTGCCACACCCAGGCGTCTCAAAGCATCCACGTTCTGATCGGGCAGAGATGGATGGAAGAGGCTCTCCTCAGCGAAGAGAACATAAACACACTTTTAGGCTCTCCGGCGGGCGAAAAGCCTCACCAAACAGTGTTTTGTTTAAACTTCTGACTTCCAAGTCCAGGTCTCGTGATGGTGTTTCAGTACACCCAAAGGCAAAGTGCAGATACAATAGTCCGCGTCGATTTGCTCTCCACCAGACAAATGCAGGGTGAGGTGGCTAGGGACAGAGAAATCGATCTTGACCACAGGAGTTCCAAGACGTACATCCAGGCCTTGAGCCAAGTAGTTGATGAGGGAGACATAGCCATCCTTCCACAGGCAGTGGTCACCTGCATCCCAAACGAAACACCGGAATAGACAGGCAGGAGCAGCCTCAGGTCCCAGAATTTTTCAAAAGTGGATGGATCGGATTTGGCGACCGACTCAGAGATCCCTCACCTGGAAACTCATCATCTTCATCCCACCAGGTAGAGCTGAGTTCATTGGCAGTTGCGGCATAGTCTTGATCAGTCTCTGCTGCGATCTGGGACAGCAGTAGCAGCCGCTTTCGCTGGTCCAAATGGTCCATGCCCTTGAACCTTTTCGAGCTCAAGCCCCGCAAAGAGGTCATCAAGCTTTGATCCTCGCCTGGAAGACCATCACAGCTTGGTTCAAAACATAAGTTTCGGTCTTCAGTCTTCAGAACGCCCGGGATGACGAAACCTTTCTCTCTCGGGTCCAACCAAAACATGCGTCCAGTTCAAGGCTGGAGGATCGACTCGCAAACAGTCCAGTTCCATCCACTCGGGGGGTGCTCTCTGCCCAGCGGCTCCTTCACCTTTCTTGGCAGCCTTGCGGTCTGCACTCTGCTTGGCTTGGAAGAGCTTCATGAGATGGGTATGCAGCTCTTCCACCTGTGCTGTTGGTTTGTGTTCGGCCTTCAACCTAAAGCAACTGGATCTTAACTCACATGATGTGTATATATATACTCGAGTCACGAACCGAGGTTCAGACAGGAGTCTGACATCTGACTACAAAATCTGGGCTTGACCTCCACTAAAGAGTCCGTTCTTGCAATTTCTGTCCTATTGTCGTGGTTGAAAGTAAGATCGGCAAATATTTCTCAGCAAACCGAGACACTCCGAAGTTCGAAGATCCTATTATTGTTGCCTGGTTGTTTTCAGGTCTCAGGTTTACTGATCTACTTGAGATAAACCAGTCTCGGGAAACTGTCCCAAGGATGGGGGTCCCGAATCAAACAACTAAAAACACACAATCTCCACCTCCACCAGCTAGCACCATCATAGCACAGCTTCTTCCAAATGGAACGATTCCCAGGTGTTGAATCTTGAACCTGCGGTTTGATGGTGTGTCCATTGCACCTCCTCCAGCTCTGCTTCATCCAAACGCTTCGCTTCAGGCGACTCTGAGGTGGTGCCGGTGGCCTTGTCAGGTGAGCCAAAAGCAGGAGGCCCAGAAAAAGAGCCAGAGCAAGAACCCGACGAAAAGAGAGAAAGACCGTGGATTCGGGCCTCTTCCTTCTCGGGACGAAGGACTGGCCCAGCGGGACGGGCCCGGCAAACCGGATCCTTCAGGGACTTGAAGGTCCTCCAAAGCCTCGAGTTTTCATATGGTTTTCAGATGATCGAATGGTTTGGGAAGTTGAGCATCTACTTCCACCAAGGCACCGCACCGGGTGGAAATCATCTCACTTGGCTTCCACGAGAGATGATTTTAAAGGTGAAAAAAACAACCGTCAGCGTGACAACCCTTGAATGAAGTAAAGAGCTGACGGTTGTCTCGCTGGTGGCTGAGGAAGGAGCCCTTGAAAAAGAGCTCACGGACTCGCTGTGAGCTTGCTGGCGGGATGCGTTTCTCGTTCAAAAAGAGAAGGAGAGACAAGGACTTCGACAGAGCCAGACGAAGACGAAGACGAAGAAAAAGAGGAAGAGAGAAGCAGGTGGGGTTAGGCTGATCTGAAAACGATTTGCCTTGCTACATGATGATGATGATGTACTAGAAGATGTTAGAAAGTTCAAAAAAATGACAACCTCCGGTGGGCGTAGCTCACATCCTGGGCTTCCAAATCCTCACCGACCGCCATGGATTGGCCTCAAAGAGTATGCAATTGTCCCAATCCGTCTTCACGAGCTTTCCTCCACAGGTCACAGCGCTTGGGGCCAACCTCTTACTCTTGAGTCTTGCCACAGACACTTATTAGACCGCAAGCCTGGAGTACAATCTTGCTGAACAAGCAGCCGCCAATTTTCACTCATGGCATCCAACAAACTCAACACTACTTATATAATCCTCCCAAGCGAATGACCCCCAACGAAGAAGCAGCTGGGTCACCATGGGCATGTCTTTGTGTCTTTTTGTGATATATCGTCACCATCTCCTCTGCAGGCTTTGGACATCTGCAGCAATCACCACTTTGAAGTTTAGTTCTGAATGAATCTACTCATATTCACTCTTTACGAATAGCAATGGCCTCCAACCTACTAGCGATGGCCTCCAACCTACTAGCTATGGTCTCCAACCTACTAGCGATGGCCTCCAACCTACTAGCAATGGCCTCCAACCTACTTGCGATGGCCTCCAACCTACGAGCTATGGTCTCCAACCTACTAGCGATGGCCTCCAACCTACTAGCTATGGTCTCCAACCTACTAGCTATGGTCTCCAACCTACTAGCGATGGCCTCCAACCTACTAGTGATGGCCTCCAACCTGCTAGCGATGGCTCCAACCTAATAGCAATGGCCTCCAACCTACTTGCGATGGCCTCCAACCTACTAGCGATGGTCTCCAACCTACTAGCGATGGCCTCCAACCTACTAGCTTTGGTCTCCAACCTACTAGCGATGGCCTCCAACCTACTAGCGATGGCCTCCAACCTACTAGCGATGGCTCCAACCTAATAGCAATGGCCTCCAACCTAATAGCAATGGCCTCCAACCTAATAGCAATGGCCTCCACAGGCTTTGGACATCTGCAGCAATGGATTCTGCTTCGAGGCCCCGTGAACCCAGGCTGCGCCCAGATCCACCGCCGCGCCGTCGCCAAAGACCTCCGTCCGAATGCGGCCGCCCAGGCGGTCGCGGGCCTCCAGCAGCGTCACCTGTAGATCCGGGGTGAGACCGGGTTCCAAAGCCCATGACCCATTCGGGTCAAGAAGATGCTGGAACATTTAAAAGAACATGGAATGAAGAGGACGCATCTTGTTTGTTTGGGCACACACTCGCCTGAACATCACTTGCAAGTCCTCTCCAAAGTCCACGCTCCTTCAAACGCTTGGCTGCACTCAGCCCAGCGATCCCCGCCCCGATCACGGCAATTCTTAGAGGGCGGGACCCCTCCGCTGTGCCCGCTGGGGCATCCATCGCACCAGCCATGGCGCACAATCGCCCATGGAATGGGAGTGGTTTTGGAGTCTCTTGATTCTAGATCTGGATATAGATCAAGGCTACTGGTGGAATCAAATCAAACCATACGATCTTCAACTGGCGGCACTGCTGGGTTGGGATGATTGAACATTCACACAAGAATTTAGCTGTCTTGAGTCTTGAGGCTTGAGCCTAGCTTGCTATTGAGGATCGGTGAGAGTTTCACCTGTGAGTTCAGTCATCCTCTCAGCATTGCTCAATGGTGCAAAACCGGAAGCACCTGGTTTTCCCTGGCATGCCAGGTCCACTGACTGAAAGAAGACCACTGAAGAGGACACAGTTCTGCTGAATACACTGTTCTGTTCTGTTTCAGGGCATCAAGACCTGGATTACTCTGAGGTCCGCTGAAGACAGAAGACAGGTCCTCTTCTGCATCACACACTTGCTATCAGACCACGAAGAAATGCTAACAAGCCCAGATACCCACAAGCTTGGTTCCTGATCTTGTCCAGTTCATCCCTGAATCATGGCTTTCCAATCAACACCTGCCCCTCTGCACCTTCAGAACTGAGATCTTCTCTTCTGTGAGGTCCTCCAGGGCATCAGACTTCACCACCTGCATGTCGGCCGGATCCATTGGAACCAAAACGACTCCCACAGCACATGTGCTCCAAAACGACTCCCGGTCCGGTGCCTTGTCATATCGCTCCAAACAGGAGACATGCTGCACTCTACGGTACCATGTCAAACTGAAACAACTGGACTTGTGCGACCAGTTGCGTAGTACGTCGAAAGTCTCTTGAGACGAAAGAAAGAAAGACAGGCCTGCTTCCCACATCGCTCACCAAACCATTTTGGGACCTTCTAGGAGGCACCTCTCTAGAAACTCTACAACATATACAGAATCTTGACAACACAAAGACCTGAATACCTTAACCAGCTTCCTCGACTTTCGGGCCAAGACACACGCGTCTCCTCCAGAGCTGCACGCGGAGTCCTCCTCGCACGTTGTGGCAGAAAAAGGATGACTGCAAGGACCTGTAGTAGAAATCCGCCCGCACCGAAGGCGCCGAGGCGTTTTTTTAGGGCACGCGCTATACGTTTTCGCTCTAGAATCCTGTGCTTTTTCACGCTCTTGGAACCGGCTTAAAATGCTGGATCTGACTTCAGCTTTCGCTTTCGATCATTCTGTCAGGTTCACTTTCATTTAATGTCGAATATGTGGCCATTTTCTATCCAGGGCCCTTGAGCACCCCTTTAGCTACGACCCTGTGCGTGCGAGAAACGTTTGCGGACTTCGGGAGCCGATTGAGACCTACGTTTGGATTGGTAGCGGAGCTGGCGACGCTCCTCTTTGCCGGTTCCTACGGTGATCTACGTGCTTGAGGAAGCCTACGAGATCCCCGTGAAGATCGAAGATACGATCTGTGACAACGTCTATGTCGGGCGTTGAAAGGAGCCCAAGGCGAACTCCCGTTCGTCGAGCCAGGACTTCAAATCCTGGTCACGCTAGCGAATCTGTTGGCGTTCGAGGACCTGGAACATTGTTCATGAATGTTGAAAGAGATGAACCGGGTAGGCAACTGCCGTATACACCCCATCAAAGTCGAGGACTGGATTCAGGTTTAGCCAAGGCATGTCCATCTTCAGAAAACCTCAACCAGAAGACCTACCGGAGTTACAGGCGGAGGCTTGAGCTGTTCAAGAAACAGTGTGATCGAAGAGGACATGATGCCACCATAGAGGGAGCTTTCTTGGTGATCAGTCGCTTGAGAGATGTTGCATGGGATGCTACAGAGCAGTTGAGTTTCGATGAGGTTGAGCGTTCCCCGGACCCTTTTCGTTTGGTGTTTCGCTTGTTGGATGAGCTCTACCAGTACGAGGACCTCATAGAAGTTCCATCCCGGTGTGACGAATTCTTCTCTGATTTTTCTCGAAAGAAGGGAGAAGAGCTTCAGGCCTATTTGATACGTCACAGGACATTGCTCAAGAGGATGAGTGAAGTGAATGTGGAGGTTCCACCTTTGCTGTCGGGTTGGCATTTGTTGACTCGTGCAGGAGTACCTCGATGGACCCACGTTCAGATCAAGGCCATGTGCTCTGGCGACTTGGAGTATGAGAAAGTGGGCAAAGCACTCATCCGAATGTTTGGTGGTGATCATCAGCCCAATGCTCGAGATCTGATGACACGTCCTTCGCCTTCGACCAAAGATGAGGTCTACATCGAGGAGGAGGATGAGTGGTGTGATGAGGCTGATGAAGCCTATTATGAAGAGTGGTATGATGACGAAGAAGAAGCCTTTGAAGCAGAGTATGATGATGATGAGCCTGTTCCCACAGAGTTGGAGGAGGCCATGGAAGTTGCTGACGAGGCCTATGTGAATTACATTGAAAGTCGAAAGAGGATGAAAGAGCTTGCTTTGTCACGAGGATTTTACCCAGTGGTTGCTCTTGGACCTGACTTCGAACGAGGCAGCGGAAGACCTTCCAAGGGAGATGGTAAAGGCAGCAAAGGCAAAGGGAAGTCAGGCGGAGGAAAGGGCAAGAGCAAAGGAAAAGGAAAGGGAAGCTTCATGCGTCGCTCGCCATTCAATCGGCGACCCATGTCAGGATTGAGGCGACCTCCTTTCTCTTCTTCCACATCCTCGACTACGGCAAGTGACAAGTCGACGCTCTCCGGTTCGACAGCCCAGCATGGACCAAGGTTCAAGAGATACAGAAGTCAGAATGCTGGGATCAAGGAAGTTCCAGAAGAGGTGACCATGGTGGAGGAACAAGAGATCCCCGAGACCGAGATGGTTGAGCAGGTGACAGATGAGCAATGCTTCTTTGCTGTGACCACTCGCGGCAAAGCCATCGTAGACAGCGGTGCAACCCGCACCATTGTTGGCGAAGACAACTGGAAGCAGTGGCTTGAGGCCTATGGAAACAGTCAGACGAAGCCAGTGACTTCGCGAGAGAAGATCAGACGATTCAAGTTTGGAGGTGGTGAAACTCTTCAATCCAGCTATGAAGTGGACTTCACTGCAGTCGTGCATGGTCAGGTACTGCCAGTGACAGCTTCCATTGTACCTGGCGCGACGCCATTTCTATTGGCACGACCCACTCTTGAGGCTTGGGGAGTCATCCACGATTACAAGAACAACAGGATGAAGATCGGTGACTCGGCCTGGATTCAGCCCGAGCGAAATGAGCGTGGACACTTCATTCTTGACCTCATGATGTACCAGGACAACTACTACGCTGAAGAGATCTATTGCCAGATTGAAGATGAAAATGAAATGGGAATTGAGCCCAATGACAAATTGATCGAAGAAGGACCTCTAGATGTCTGGGACATTGAACCAGTGATGGAGGCTTACATGGTGAATGAGAAGGTGGAGACGAAGTTGATTGAGAAGCCCTTCAAAGATGATGGTTTGGCAGAACGTGTTGCTGAACGCTTGCGAGAAGGGAAGAAGTTGAAGTTCTTTGAGGTCTATGTTGACCAGGGCAATTTGTCTCTCTACTTGACCCAGAAGCATGATGACGTGGAAGCTTCAACCTTCTCCCTGCCTGAATGGGACTTCAATGAACCCAATGTCAGGAAAGAGTTCATTCAGCTTTTGAGAGAGGTGTCGCCAGACTTCATTTGGATGGCACCACCATGCAGAAAGTGGTCAGCTATGCAGAGATTGAATCGGAGGACACCAGAACAAAGGAAAGCACTGAAAGACACAAGAGATGACGAGGAGAACTCACATTTGACGCTTGTGAAAGAAGTGTCTGAAGTGACTAAGGTGATTGAGAGTGACTATGCTATGGAACACCCTCATGGAGCTGAATCCTGGGACACCGAGACTTTGCAATCCATGAAAGGCTACTTTGAAGGGATCTGCAACAGGTGCCAGACAGGTCTGTACTACAAGGATGCCAAACAAGAAGGGCCAGTTCGAAAGCAGACTCGAATACGAACAAGTTCACGACATGTTGCTGAAGCAATGCACCTACCATGCAGCTGCGAAGAGAAGCACATCCCAATGGATGGAAAATCACAGAAGCTTCGTGAAATGCAGAACTATGAGGAGAAGTTCGTGCAACTAGCAGGACAAGCCATCTATGACACCATGGATGAGAACTGGAGAAAGAAAGAAATCGTGAAGATCATGGTCGCTGAGGAGATTGAGAAAGAAGAAAAGAAGAAAACGGTGTCGACCATCGAGATGAAGGAAACCGCAGGGCATTCCAAAGCAGCTTTGTCAGTTGTCGCCAAACTTCATCGACAACTTGGTCATCCTGGTCGAGTTCGACTTCTTGTGGCATTGAAAGAAGCTGGAAT